ATAAGCTATATTATTATAAAATATAACAAACTATAAGGGATAAGGTTTTTTTTTTTTTGGTTTTTTTTTTTTTTTTTTTTTTTTTTTTGTTCACAGTTTTCATTCTCGCCACATGGGGTGTCTGAACTACACGTCCTCTTCATATTCCAGATACTTGGCTGTGATGGGTTCTTCAAGCTGAATTCCTCCACTGCCCATTAAGGCAAATGCTGGATACATTGTATGTGAACAGTCCACCTGGCGCTCGTACAGGCATTTCATGTGATCCATATCATAGAAGCTGACTTTGCCTTTATCACAGTCAAGGAAAATCCCTATACTTGTTGGCATGGGAAGAACTTTATTTTCGGGTTCATTAGAAGAATTAGGTGACTTGGGTATAAAAAATTTCTTCATGCCTACAGTAACTAATGTAAAAGGTTGTGAAGAATCGAAACAGGCCTCTTCACTGCCACTGTCATGCCCGCTGTCTTGTTCATATCTTGGACTAGCCGCATTAAATTCCCTAGTATTTTTTTAATTAAAGGTATACTTTAATGTTAAATATTATTATACTGCTTAGATATAAAATTAGGTAGTATAAATCAAAGCAAAGTCAATATAATTTAAGGTCTACAATGAAATTTAAGATAATATGCTAAATATGGATATTTGATGAAAATTCATTCATATATCATTGAAAATAGTTTAATATTGAATGAACACAATACAATTTATTTAGAATGACTTTGAGTATATAATGATAGCTCTGATTTTATGAACAGATGTTAAAACATTAATAAAAGTTAACTCCTATGGTGGGGATAATCTGACACAACTTATGTTAAAGGACACAAAAAAATCAATGAAATATTAAAACTTTATTTTTCAATTCATTGTTGTTGTTTGAATAATAATGTCTCCCATGGGCTCAAATGCTTTAATGCTTGATCTTCAGTTACTAGAATTGTTTTTGAAGGATTAAGAGATGTGGCCTTGTTGGGGGAAGTATTTCAAAAGCTCACACCATTCCCAGTTATCTCTCTCTGCTTTATGGCTGTTACCAGAACATGTAAGCTCTCAGCTAATGCTCAGCACTATGTCTGCTTAACTGCTGCCATGCTCACCACCATGATGGTCATGGACTAACCCTCCGGAACCATGTTTCCCCAAATTGGATGTTTTATTTATCCATTGCCCAAAACCTGGTGTTTGGTCACAATATAAAAGGATGCTTGCTTCTTTCTTCATGAATTATACATTATATGTTTCACAATTATTTAAAAATCTTACTAAGTTATAGTCCTTTTTGTTTGTCTTTGCTTTAAATGGTTCAGCTTTCAACATCTCTATGGCTAAAAGTTTGCACATCTGCCTGGCTATTTCTGTAAAATAAATTCTCAGAAGTAAAATAGCTGTGTCCAAGTGTGTGAATCATATTTAGGAGCCTAGAGCATCTTGCCAAATTGAATGTCAAGAAAATGTTAATCATCTTGTTTATAATGACCTCCAATAGCATAATTAAGCATCATTTTCCTATGTCTTAGTCCAAACTGGATATTTTATGCTTTACAATCTTACTCTTTTTAAACCTTTGCCAAATATGTAAGGAAAATGAAGTGACAAGTAGATTTTTCCTTTTTTAGGGGAAAAGACCTTTCACATTGCTGGTATGCACATCTTTTCTTATGTAATGAAGTCTTACTAACCTAATATCACATGATCTCTGAGTCCCTCAGTTGCACTGTTTCAGAGTATGTGAAATACTTTTTTTTCTGTTTAGTACATGTCAATAGAAATATTGCCCCTGGGCCATAGGGCCTATGTCTCTTATTTCTTGCCCTTGGGTATATTTTAACCTGGGGACTAAAGGACATTTCAACTGCCTACTACCTAAATGAGTAGACAATCTAGCCTGACTGAGGATTCAGTGGTAAGTTATGTGTGCATAGTAATGAGCAAGACCCAATACAATCAGATTCATTTTAAATAAGGAAGATAGTTTGCACTATACATCATCCACCTGTTTGATTTTGTTGTCAATTTTCATTGTCAGGAGTAAATGGAAGCAAGTAGTAATTTTAGGAACCTGAAAAGACTTCGAATTGAAATTTTGTTATTTCACAAATTGAAATTATTTATGTTGCTGGACAGTTGTATATCTGTAAATCATTTATACTTACCTATTTTTGTGCTGAGGTAGTTCTTAGAGTAATTTCATTTAAATACTATCTTCAGTTAGGTATTCAACCTTATTGTATCATGGTATTATATACATGGGAGTAAAGATTCTATTCTTCTTTATAGTTTCTATTTTTGTTTTCAACCATTTGTTTTTAAAGATAATGATAGAAGCTAAGTTTTTAGTCTGATGAAATAAGCCTAATATGATTAAATGTTCGGCAAGTACTTTTCAGGTAACTTTCAGATCTTTTACAATATAACTGTTAACTTGTTCTATTTTGATAGAATTACTTGGAAAAATCAAAGTATTTTTGACAGATTATGCTAATTGTACAATTTATATTTTCAGGTAAAACTAATTAATGTACCTTTTGTGTATAATATAAAATATTCCATCATATCACTTAAAATGTATTTGTCTCATTCAGGTTCAAACCTTATATTTTCAGTCTTCAACTGATAGCAGGACCATCATCATAAATATTTGTTTAGCAAGTGAATTGTGCTTATCTAGACTACAGCAATAATATTCAAAGTTTACTCCTTCAAATAGCAGTGTCATCATCTCCTCAAAACTTGTCAAATAAGACAAAGTGATTTTGATATACAATCCAATTTATTAAAAAAGACGAGTGTGGTGCTAAAGACCTGTAATCAGAACACTTGGGAGAATGAAGCAAGAGGATCACCATGATCAATGTCAGCCTAGGCTACAAAGTGACTTCAAGGCCAGCATGAACTATATAACAAAACCCTACATCAAAAATAAAACCAAAACCAAAACAAAAGCACACAAAATAACTAAATTAAAAAGAGTTTCAGAACAAGGTTAATTACTGGTCCTGTGGCTCTCATTTTCTCATATTTAAAGGGTAAGTTGAATAATGGTTTATCATAGTTCTACAGAATTTTAAGATTGGATTTTTTTATTTTTTAAAGATTTATCTATTTATTATGTGTTCTGCAGGTATGCCTGCAGGCCAGAAGACGGCACCAGGTCTCCTACAGATGGTTGTGAGCCACCATGTGGTTGCTGAGAATTGAACTCAGAACCTTTGGAAGAGCAGCCAGTGCTCTTAACCTCTGAGCCATATCTTCAGCCCACTTCTACAGAATTTAACACTTGTGGATTTAACATTATGCCCTTAAGTATCTATTTTCTCTACGCCATACTTAAATACTCAAATCTATCTTTTTATATATTTGTCCCATTTATTTTCATTTTCTATACTGTGTGTTATCCATATGTGCTTGTGTTCTATTGTTTCTTTTTAAGGATTTTAGATTTTTTTTAATGTGTATTGAATGTTTTGCCTTCATGTATGTATATGCACTTTGTGCACATAGTGCCTGTGTCAGCCAGAAAAGGTCATCAAATCCCCTGGTGCTAGAGTTACAGATAGTTCTGAGCAGCTACGTGGGAACCCAGGTCCTCTACAAGAGCAGCATGTGCTCTTAACTACTGAGCTCTCGCTCCAGCCCCTTATTTTATTTATTTTATAAACATTTTCCCTTGTATTTGCCATTGAAAATATGTGTGTTGATGTCTTCATTCTTTCAATGGCTATTGTGAAAATCTAAGCCTTTATAAATACTGAGGATTGTCGTTAGTTGTTTGTTTGTTTTTAACTTTTCATTCTTTGGAGGCTAGCCACCCAGCTCCCAAAATAAATACACAGAGACTTATTCTAACTTATAAATGCTCAGTTTAGATTGGCTTGTTTCTATCCGGCTTTTCTTAAATAATCCCATCTAAATTTTGCCTGTGGGCTTTCACCTTTCTTTGTTCTATATGTCTTTCTTTACTCCTTACTCTGTATCTGGCTGTGTGGCTGGAAGGCCAGGCCCTAGCATCCTGTCTCCTTCTCCATTTTTGCTTCTCCTATTCTCTCCTCCTCTTTATTCTCTCTGCCTGCCACCCCCACCTATTTCTCTCTCCTGCATAGCTATTGGCTGTTCAGCTCTTTATTAGACCAATCAGGTGTTTTAGACAGGTAAAGTAGCACAGCTTCACAGAGTTAAACAAATGCAACATTTGCATCATTAAACAAATATTCCACAGCATAAGGAATGTAACACATATTTAACTAATATGCCACAACAGTGGAGAATCTGGAAGGAGTCAAAAGAGGGGAATAAACATGATAAAAGTATTTTGTTTAAAAAATGTAAATAAAAAAGGGAAAAATAAATTCTTGTCTTTTCATTTTTTAATTGCTCTGTTTTACTTCTTCACTATTCATGGAACCAGGATAGATAATAACTAATCATACATATAATGTTGGTTTATAATACTAAGTTTATATTTACTATTATCCAAATATATAGTGTACCTTGAGCACATCCCCACCATACCCTGCTACCCTCCCCTTTCTTGCCCTCCCACCTGTTTATTTCTCTTTGTTCTCCTGGTAAATTTTCATTTGACTTTCACATAATATGTAAATAAATTATTTTATGTATCCATATAAGGTCTAAGACTCACAAGTGAGACAAAATGTGATATTTGTGCTCTTGAGATTGATCTAATTTACTTAATCTGATTATCTCCAATTACATCTACTTTCCTGAAACTTACATAATACCATTCTTCTTTATGGCTAAAAGTTCATATGTATTTATAGTCAGATATCAAATATATTGAATTTTCCTCATCTGTTCTTATACTGATAGGCACCTAGGATCATTCTTTCCATGGCTTCTCTATCATGAATAATGTTGCAATAAACCTACATGTGCTAGTAGCTCTGTGATGTTTTGAAACAGAGTCATTAAAACAACCTAGTCAAAAAATGACCAAATAAAATGGTAAGGCATTTCTAAAAACATAAAGTACGGTGCCCACTTTGGCAGTACATATACTAAAACTTGAATGATGCAAAGATTATCATGGCTCCTGCACAAGAATGACATGTAAAATCATGAAGTGTTCCATAGTTTTTCTAAGAAGAGTCCCAGTGAAGGCCCAGTATCAATAGTATAGCAGGAACCAGAGCCCTCAAACCAGACCATTGACTCTGTAATTAACACTTGCACACATAGATATATGGATGAAAGGTTTTACTATGTGACTCACTATATCACACTATAGATTTCATGACAAGATTTTTCCTTTTTTCTCTTAAATTTTATTTTACTTTATTTTGTGGAGGGTGGGTTACAAGGGCAGAGGGAAGATACAAATGGACAGGAAATGACTCTGATTGAGCTACGTGATATGAAAGATACAAAGAATAAACAAAAAGACAGTTAACAAAAAACAAAGTATGTACAAATGGTCAATGAATATGTAAAAAATGTCCAACATCAATGGTCATCAAAGAAATCCAAGTTAAACATTATTGCAATTTTATCTCACCCCACTCATAATGGCAGTCATTAAGAAAACAAATTGTGGTGAGGATTTGAATAAAAGCAAACCCTTGTGCACACCTGGTACAGCCATTATGGAAATCAGTAGGGAAGTTCCTCACAAGACTAACAAAATATCACATGAATATATCACATGACCCAGCAATATTAATTCTGGCATTTATGCAGTTGTCCGTTTTTTTTAAGTCAAAATTTTTATAGGGCATCATGTAGGATTATAGCGCATTGGTTCAAATAATTCAAGGTTTGAACATTAAGTTAATAAAATACTGTTAAAAGTCTTTCCCATACTGACTCTTTTTGCTTACAAGGACAAAAATTATTCAGTTTTCAAACACTGATTTCATTTACCCCTTCCTTTATCCTCTTGAACTGAATACACCAAAAATCATTTCTTTGCTTACAAAACAAATGTTCTTTCACTTCTCTTCCATGCTCATTGCAAGAATGATATTCAAAATGTTTCCTACTGAGCACAAGGAAAATTCAAAACATGAATTTCTGCCATATTTCATGTTTGAATAGCTTTTTTTGCTGGTGAATTGAGTTTGATCCATGGAACCCATGGAAAGGTGGAAGAAGGGAACCCACTCTATAAAAGTTGACATCTGATTTTCATAAGCTAATATATACACAAAATATCTCTCTCTCTCTCTCTCTCTCTCTCTCTCTCTCTCTCTCTCTCTCTCTCTCTGTTTCTGTGTGTCTTTCATACACAATAATAGTAATAAATAATAATTTAAAAGAACAGAGAATAATGATATATATGAAAAGAGTAATGATTATATAATATATATATGTATATATATACACACATATATATACATATATATATATATATATAAAACTTTAAATGAAAAACATTACTTTGAATGCCAGCAAAAAATAATTTAACATATATTAAAATATTTTAACAAAACCAAAAAGAAAAAGTTATTGAATTAATCCTGTTTCTAACATATTTCTAGAACTTCACTTTAAATAGTATAAATCTAAGTAGCTGTGCCTAAATTCAAGAAACACTAGACAACTCTGTGTGTGTGTGTGTGTGTGTGTGTGTGTGTGTGTGTGTGTGTGTGTGTGTGACAGTATCTTTCTATATAGCCAGGCTGGCACTGAACTCAAGACTTGGTCTCTTCTCCTGAGTGTCAGGATTGACAGCCACCCTGGTCAAATGATACCATTCTTATTTGTGCATTGATGCACACTTCATGCATATCTTCTGTACATTTTAATTGCTTGTGTCCACAACAGCAACTTTGGTTTGTATGTGTAAAAGTTAGAATACCATAACTTCAACAAGTTGGTTGTAAGAAACCAAATCTGAATGAGGATTAGGTAATCATATGAAAAAAATGCTTTTTTGCTTTTTTCTTTGTTTATGATGCTTCATGTCTTTTACCTAAAAGCCCAGAGTAACTTCAGATGAATACTGAATGTGTCAAATCATCATTAGTCTTATGAGAGCACATTTTTTTTTTTACCTTGCAAGTGAGCTGTATGATTTTGGTAGAAAATAGTTGACAATTCATTGAAGTTAAGCTTGATATATCAACTGGTGAAAGACAAAACTTTATTTGTTGTTCAGAGAGCTGGAAACTGAACTAAGAGAGAATGTCTGCAGAGGTAAGTACATGCAGCACATTCTGGACTTTACTTTCTCCATTGGCTTTGAGCTTATGCACTCCACCTGGAATACAGCTGTCTGTAGGTCACAGTGATTAATAGAAGATGAATGTGCAGTGGCTTGGGCTAAATAATTAGAAAAGCAACATTATTTTCATAGTCTTTGTTCGGTGTATGGAAATAATGTGTTTTCCGTTCTCTATCATTTGAAAAAGACTAAGGTCTCATGGTGCAATTCTCATGTGCATTTATTTTTCTTTGTCTTACCCTCTCTGAATTTCATTTCTTGTGTGTTTCCTTTTTTCTTATGAAACAATGTTTTATCTTTAAAATTATTTAATGGAGGCTGGAGAGATAGTTTAGTTGGTAAGAGAACTTGTTGCTCTTCCAAAGGACCTAAGTTTCATTTTCAGCATCTACATGGTGGCTAACAACTGTCTGTAACTCCAGGTCCAGAGTACCGGACACCCACTTCTGGCCTCTGGTGGACACCAGTTATGCACATGGTGCAAAATATACATTCAGACAAAACACAAATGCATATAAAGTAAAATTAAATAAACCTTAAAAACCCAAATTAGATTATTTAATTTGTGCAGGAGAGATTATTTAATGCTTAAGATCACTTGTTCCTATTGGAGAGGACCTGGGTTCTGTTCCCAGTACCTACAAGGCTGCTCACAATCTCTGTTACTCTAATTCTAGGATACCTGATGCTCTCTTCTGGTCTCTTTAGGCAATGCACACAGGTGGTATACACAAACTCATATAGGCAAAATATTCATACAAATAAATAAATCTTAAAATTTATTTAATCATCTTCCCCTGGACTAGATATGAGTCCCTAGATGCAGAAGTCTTGTAAGGATTCCCTTGCAGGGAGAGATGAACCCAGGAAGCCCAACTAAAGAAACAGAAGAACTAAGAGGGGAAAATGAGAAAGTCAGTAATATGCTAAAGGAAGACTGCAGTTATAAGCTTTTGAAACTACATTCCACAAGAGATTTTCTGAGGAATTGTGCAGACTAGAGTTCAGGAAAGCCCCAGTGAAGAGTGGGAAAACTGGCACATTCATTTATCATTTGTATTCACCAATGACTATGGAATATCCTTGGTTAATCCTTAGGATTTCTTAACTGCTCTGATTGTGGAGCTAACAAGAGGTTCCTGTACTATAAAAATCGCATGGTAAAGCAAAAAAAGTAAGCTCTATAGATGAAAATTGGACACTGTGCAGACACTGTCTCATATGGCAGAAGTAAAAGCAGGCCCTAGAAGACATATCTCAGTGGATCAGTAATATGTGTCAAATTATTTGCACATACATTAAAGAATTATCTTCTTGGAACCTTTCATATGCTAAGCATTGGTGAAATAACAGGAAGATACAAACCAAGAAAGTCAGCAATCTGGTCTCCATTGTACATATCTTCTTTTTAAGTTCCCACATAAAATGATCTTCAACCTTTTATGTCTTGCTCAAGAATAGTTTAGGCTTTCCCCCTTCTCTCTATCCTAGTTTAATCTCCCACCACAACTACATGAAAATGGTGACTACTGAAACAATCTCTGTACTGGACTTTCTTGCACTTTCATGTTGCTTAAAACTATTTAATGGTTCTCCAGAGGTTTCAGAATAAAATTCACAATCTTGATCATCTGCCCAGAATCACTGTAGTTTCTCTCCCAGAATCTCATTCACCCCTTATTCTTTGTTTCTCCATTTCACCAGGTTATGTGCAGTCTCCTACAGTACACATTCTCATCTTCTTTTAAAATGATTTCCCCAAGTACTAGGTCCTGTTTGGTTGTAGTCTCTTGGAGGCCTGGTCTTTCCTGCAAAGGAAACGGAGGGGAAGTGACTATGGAGAGGACAGTCATATGGGAACTGGGAGGAATGGAGGGAAGGTGAACTGTGGTTGTGAAGTATTGTACGAGAGAAGAATATTTTTCAATAAAAATGTTTCCACTTCTGAGCAGAAATTTCTGTGAATGTTCTTTATTTACTAACTCCTGTTTTCTGATCTCATATTTCCCAGTATCACTCGGCCTCCCTCATCTAAATCTCTGCACTGTCCCTGCTTGTTCTCTTACCATTAGCTTTACATGTCCTTAAGATGATGTTTTAGGACATAGTGTTGTGAATATTCTATTGTCTGTCTATCAAACTCTCCCATGAACTCACTAATGGCAAAAATTAGTGTATTTCACACCATTTTTCATGACTGTGAATATGAAATTCTGTCATTTTCAGTAATGCTAAGGGAATGAGCATTAACAAAAGAAGACAATGCTTATTGACTTCAACGATCTCACAGGCTAAGTCAGGGTATGTGTCCCTAAGGAACTTGCAGTCTGATGGCCTTATACTTTTTGAAAATTTAATTACATGCTAGATCAGTATATGCAATAACCATAAGTGTCTCCCTGTTGAGTTTATGTGACCTTAGAAAGCATGATTGAGTCTGAAATATTCATGATAAAACAAATTTCCTTGGTCTCAGCTGTAGGCTTCATTCTGGGTAATTATCGTCCTAATTTCTTCCAATAATTCCTGCTGAGTCCCTCTACAACCTTCCATATCTCCAGGCTCCAAGTCCTTTGAATCTGATGAAAGTCTTGCGTTTAGCTCATAGGAGTCCTAGTAGTTTAGTATTCTATGGTCTTCTCCAATTCGTTTTGTAGAAACTTATAATGCAGGCTTAAAAAGGCAATGAGACAGCTGGAAAAAGGTTGCTTTCACTCTGCCTTTATTTAGCAGTTGCTTTGTAAGGCAAGAAAATAGCATCATTTTCATGATTCATCATCTCGTTTCCTCTATAATAGTATCAAAATGAAGTGAGATGTCAGTGGATTTATAGCAATAAAGTTTGTTATCAGGAGTGCTGCAAGCTCTTTTATTTGATTTGTGAGTAAAAAATGTTTTAAATGAGAAGACTACTC